GTAGTTTCACCAATTTCGAGTTTGGAATCTGGTTTTTGATTGGCTTGAGAATCGAGTGTAATCGAAAATAATTGTTTTACGGTTTTATTCATTATTAAATCATCTTTAATGAAACTAATCAATACATTACGAAATAAATCACTGCATTCTTCGAATAACATATGGACTAATGGTTCACTTTGCTGAAGCCATGTTAAAGGTTTCGAGAATATATGTCGATACACATAAAGAACAAATTGAAAATGAACAAGTGTTTGCTGTTGGTCGAGCTGATTCTTAATTCTTTTCCATCTATCATTATTAATAATATTTTTATTAATTTTTGGTAAATAAACAAGAAAATATTCTTTAAGAATGGGCCATTGGTCAATAACTCGTTCGATAACTGGACCGACTTCTATCCACCGTGTAATAACAAATCGTTTCATAAATCGACCAACACCATCACCAATAGATTCAACTACACTTAAATAATCTTCACGACGGGCCGATGATCTAGAAAAGAAAAACCAAAATTCATAAAGAATATCTTCGACTTGCCACTCATTTTGTGTAAAACCGTGTTTGAACGCATTGTGAATGACATGAAGTGGACAAGATCCGATGGAAACCAATCCGTTAGCTGGTGCATGTCCAGTTCTAACAAATATAAAACATGAAATTAATCTTTCTCCTGCTTCTGTGTTCAAATACTTACTTTTTCTCTCGTTCAGATCGTAGTTCTTTGTCAATCATAGTTTCAACTGCTTTGTTAACATTCGGATTATCACGACCTATAAGAACAGAAGGACATCTATATAAATAAGAACAAGAATTACTCACCCAATTGAAGAAGCTTACACAAATCGATTCCATCAGACTTTAATGAATCGAGTATATGACGACTAATGATGTCTGCTGTTGCATGTCCAAGCATAATACTTTTCCAATAACGTGTAACAACACATTGCTTGGATTCACTCCAATATCGAATATGTAAGTTCAATTTTTTTCGTACTCCAACAATAGTAGTTTCGTCGAAAAGTAACGAGTAGGATGGAGCTTTATTAACATCTTTAACAAGTTCACGTACAAAATAATGACCAGTTCCATGTGATATCATATACGAAAGTTTTCGATCTTTCATTGCATAATCGGCAGCTATTTTACTGTCAGGAAACATCGATGTAAATAATTCAGGAATATTCTTCGATGAAGCATAGCTGAAGCCGAGGTGAGCTGTTGCCATTGCCCAATAGCATTCGGCGCGAGACACCTTTTCATCGTGTGTCAATGCCCGATCTGTGTTGTTGTTCAATATGACGAAAGACCGTTTGTTTGTTGATATCGATGAATCAGTAAGTGAAGACTGTTTTTCAGTAGAATCAGTACTTTTAGATGGTACTGATGTGGTAGAAGAAATGAGTTGATGAGATTCCATGACGTCTTTCAGACGTTGCATATGCTTTGTTCGTTCTGCATGATTCTTTACGTTAGTCCAGCCTCCATTGGCACAGCTTAATTCGATGTTACATACAGTACATATAAATGCAGTTTTTTCTTTACCTGGACGTAACCATATAGAGCATGGTTTGCCTGTAGAATCGGTTTTTTGTAACCATTTTGTTGAAAAAGAAGTATCATACGGCATTTGATGTGTTTTCGTATTTTTATCAAATGTGTGGAATATTTATTCTTTTCTTGAGCAAACGTGTGTTCATTTACACATAAACAAAAGAGCAATTCAATTCGACGTGTTTTTGACGAGGATATATCCTTCTCATTCATGAGCGGAATAGGGCGTCGTGTGTGACAGTGCGTTGTCCTTATTATTTGTATGAGACATTGTTATGCAACATATCGTTTTATGTCTGTCTGATTGTTCATTTAAGGGCCCAAACAGACTAAAAAAGTGAATTAAAGAACGTGACCAATCTGTTCTGACCTAAATTATCTATTCTAGACGATGAATTCGTCAATTCAGTTTCAATTTGTCTTATTTTTTTCACTCTGTTTGGGGCATAAGTCAACTATTGCCATTCTTTTATATGTTTACTCTCTCTTATTGTTTGAATTAATGTCATCTGTTTACGTAAACTGATTTCTCTCTTTCATAAAATTCTTTTTTTTTCAAAGAAGAGGCGACATGTAAAATACAAAAACCAAATGAAACAACAATCTTCTCACATCAGCACTTTTTTGCCAAACTCAGTGCAGAAAAATCTGTTTTTGGACGAAAAGACAGTAACAACAACATTTACTCGTCATAACGAGATGCTATCAAAAAGATCGTCTTCTACAAGTTTTCTACAATAAGCCATCACATAGCCGAATTAATTTAGATTTTTCAGCGTGTCTTCAATGAATGCGTCGGCTCATTTTACTTCGAGGAAAAGTAAAATCTAAAATTCAGCTCTATTTCATGTTTGCTTGATTTACCTTCATTTTGATTTGACAACAGTATATTTGGAAAAATTCCTTTTTTTCCTCTTTTTTCTTCTTTTTCTTAAATTTCCTACTTTAAAAAAAAAATTCCTTCGTAAAATCCTTCTTTTTGATACCCCCTCGCTGCGACCCCTGTATTAAACAAAAGTTCTAATCAATCTTAAACAAAAATCTTGACCTGTTCATTTTAGATTCAGTTCAAATTGATATTTCGCTAGTGATCGAACCATATATACTGGCAGAAAACTTCAGATAACTTGGAAACGCTTTCAAAATTTATTATTCGGGACGAAAAATGATGATACCTTCTGAATCTTAAAAAAGACTGTTCCATCCATATGTACCAAAAGAATTGTAAAATTTCAAGTGTTATGATTTCAATTAAAACTAAGGTACTGTAACAATAGAACTGTATTCATTTACAAAAATTTTTGCAAATATTACCATATAGCATAGAGCACCAAAATGATAGATTAATGGTAAATCTTTGGAACAGATTTGATCAAAGAAAATTAAAATCAATATTTGTTCTATTTTAAAGTATTGTATCAGAACAGAAGCTATGATTCATTATGCTATTTCAGCATGATGTATTATTGATTGACATTTTTCTAAAACTTTGATAAAACAACAAAACACCGTTATGATAGACTTCTTTTCATAAGTTGAACTCAAAAAACACTTCAAAACTTCTAGTTTATGACTTGTGCATTGATATAATAACCGAGTTGAACTTTAACATAATTCATCGTATTGTTTTGTAAGAACGAAAAATTTCGAAACGGTTCAAAATAAATTAATGTTTTAGGAAGAATGAACCTTTCTGTATTTTAATGATGGCTCTCATAATATTCATCTTACTCAGACCTTTTTTTTCAAACCATGTTTCGAATGAATAGCGGAAAACTAAAAATTCACTAAAACAATTTTTGTTGAATTAGTTTGACTTCATGTTTCAGTTATTGAATATGAGTATCTTTTGATGTTAGATTTTTCAAAATCGTAAAAATAGCAAATCTCTCCAAAATTAAACAGTTAACGACTTCAATCTGTCTA